ATGATTCTCACCCCCACCCCCACGATTCTTAAGCACACTAAAGTCTGAGAACCATGAACCATTCTAAAATAAAAACAAAATAAGTCTCTGCCACTTTTTGGTTCAGTGGCAATCCTCTGTCTTACAGGATAAAGTCCAAAATTGTTTGTAAGAGCCTACAAAGCCCTGTAAGAGCTAATCCAACCCTGGCTAGGCAGATCAGTTGGTTAGAGCTTCATTCCCGATACACCAAGGTTTTGGGATCAATCCCTGGTCAGGGCATGTACAGGAATCAACCAATAAATGCATAAACAAATGGAATAGCAAATCGGTCTCTCTCTTCCTCTCTCTCTTTTTCTAGAAACAAAAAACAAAACAAAATTTAAAAAAAACAACAAGGAAAACTAATATAGGTTAACCATTTTAGTTCCTTCTCATCATTTTTTCCTGGAAGCCTCTGCTTCTTCAGTCATAGTCAATTAGTTGGGTTCTGAAATGTACCTGCTCTCTCTCAACTCTAAGCTTTTGTCCATTGTAGGTGCTCAAAGATTCACTGAATGCATGAATAAATGGAAACTATCACTATGCAAAGTTCCTGTGGTAGTCATTGGGCAGACAAAGAAAGGCAGACAAAGTCCCTGACTAAATAACATAATTTGGTGGGGTGGGGGTGGGGTTAGGTAGGAAATACACAAGAAGTGAAAGGGGAAGAGCACCAACTGCCATGTGTCAGGTACTGCATGGGGCTTTACTAATAATATTAGCTCATTTCCTCCTTACACAAACCCTTGTAAGCGAGTATAGTATTTATTTGCTACTAAGGCTCAAAGGAATTAAGTAACTTACCCAGTATCATGCAGCTGCCAGGTAGTGTTGACTGAGCTCCTACTGAATGCCAGGGAATGAACATGCTGGGTGCTGTGCCAGGTACTGTGGAGAAAGAAAAAGAGATGCTATCCTTGCTGTCCAGAATCGTCTTCTGTTGCCATCGCACATCTTCCCAGCCTTGTAGGACTACAGAACCATCAAAGAGGAATATGTCGTGCTAAACTGACCATCATTAATATGTGGGGACTTCCAGGAATCAAACGCTTGTTTGGTCCTTAGCTTCTGGGTGACAGGTGTGTCCTACAATATCCTCCCTCTCCGAAGTTATGCTAAATTACAAAATTAGCTTCAGGCAATGGAGGAGTTCCTATAAAAAGTAGTTAAGCACATTCAAATGTGTGAGCAAAACATATTCCAATGGAGAACTGGAATTCTGTGAGCTTAGCCTAGGGGATCTACTAAAATTGTATACTGAGAGTCCCTTTCCAATTTCCAGCAAAAAAAAATTGTGAAAATATAGAAATTTCCCAACATTACGTTTCTCCCTCCATTTTTTAAAAATTGATTTTAGAGGGAGAGAGAAACATCATCGATTTGTTGTTCCACTTATTTATTTTAAATCCTCACCTGAGAACATTTTTATTGATTTTTAGAGAGGAAGGGGGAGAGAAACATCAAGGTGAGAGAGGACATGACTGGTTGCCTTCTGTAAGTGCTCTGACCTGTGATCGAACCCACAACCTAGGTATGTGCCCTGACTGGGAATCAAACCCGCAACCTTTCAATGTACAGGACAATGCTACAACCAACTGAGCCACACCAGCCAGGGCTATTGTTCCGCTCATTTACGCATTCACTGGTTGCTTCCTGTATTTGCCCTGACCAGAGATTGAACCAGAAACCCTGATCTACCAACTGGTGTTAGAAGTAGAGGGTAAAAATAGGGTGAACCATCCAGAATGAACCCCTCAGGGTCAGATGCCAAAGAAAAACCATCATTCCTAAAAAGTGCAGGAAAACAAGATTCACGGAGTCTGTTTAGAGCTTTAAATCTTTGCCAAAACCCTTGAGAAACACATAACTGAATTTGTAACACAGATGACTAAACTGGTAATTTATGCCATCAAATTTCCTTCAGGTTCTAAGGTTAGTTGAGTGCTTGAGCTCTCTGTGAATACTGCAAGAATACTGAATATTGGGGGGGGCGGGGGCGGTAAGAATACTGAATACTGGATCCCTGAATACTTCAGGAAATCTGGAGGCAGAATGGTGATGTAAAAACCTTCCAGTTTTCTCTCCTTGGGTCATGGCAAAGGTGGGACCCAAGACTGTGCCAGCAGTCATAGCCAAGAACCTGGTATAATGCACTATTTCCCTACCATTTATAGTTGGGGTATAAAAGGTAGGGAAATAGTGTTCCATTTTACAATACCACACATTCACTGAATATTAACATACATGTTGCATAAACATACTTACAGTATGGTCCTATAAGTTTTTTGAGGACAGGTATGACCACTTTTTGTCGAGTCTCAGCAAATAACAAAGTCCTGAGAGTCAGTGTTCAATAAGAGTTCATTGATTTATTGATGCAATAGTAACACAGCATTTGCCATGAGAATACCAAAAATGCCTAAATTAGGGTTTCTGAGTGTCAGTTATACAGCCTCTACATTTGTATGACAATTTCAAATTCTTCTAACCCAATGCTCCAATCTTACTCCTCTGTCCATTACTGGAGTCAAGTATGGCCCAATGACTTGAGACTGTTTGTTTCATAAAATGAATGAAAACAACTTAAACAAGGTTATATTTTGCAGTCATGCCACATATAGATAATATGTGTATTGTTCAAGCTCTGGTTTGTGACTAACTACTTTCACCCTGAGGTAGAGAAGAGTTGAAAGGCTGATATCACTGGGCAACAGTATCACTTCCACTTGAAAATGTGTCAGAAGTACAAATACCTGGGGCCCCATCCCAAACTACTGAATTAGCAGCTCTGGGGATAGAGCCCAGGAATCAGTGGTTTAACACTCTAGATAATTCTGAAGTTCACTAAGGTTTGAGAACCCTAAGCCTAGAGTAGTTTTTACCTTCCAGTAAGAAATTTGTCACATTTATAGTTGTATTTCTCAACCTGACGTTTTATGTGGCTAGATATACACTACTAGGACTATAAAGCAGGTTTTCACAAACATGGTCTTATTCATGTTTGTGTACATATGTATGTATATATATATTTAAAACATCAGTGAAACATTTTTTTCCTTTGGGTTATTTTGCTTTATTTACTTATATTTTGAAGGTTTTAAAAAATATTTTTATTGATTGATTGATTTTAAAGAGAGAAACATCGATTTGTTGTTCTATTTACTTATGCATTCATTGGTTGATTCTTGCATGTGCCCTGACCGGGGACTGAACCTGCAACCTTGGATATCTGGAAGATGCTCTAACCAACTGAGCTACCTGGCCAGGACTCTTGAATGTTTATTTTATTTGTAAAATATTAGGGCTCTTTTTACCACCCAAAAAAGGAACATGAGCCCTGCCCCAGTAGCTCAGCTGGTTGGACTGTCAATATGTCAAGGTTGTGGGTTCAATCCCAGATCAGGGCACATACAAGAATCAACCGATAGCCCGGCTGGCATGGCTCAGTGGTTGAGCATCGACCTAGGATTCAGGCAACTGGGGTTCGATTCCCGGTCAGGGCACATGCCCAGGTTGCAGCTTGATCCCCGGTTGGGGGCGTGCGGGAAGCAGCCGATCAATGACTCACTCATCATTGATGTCTCTCTCTCTCTCCCTTCCTCTCTCTGAAATCAATAAAAATATATTTTAAAAAATAAATAAACCAATGAATGCAGAAATAAGTGGAAAAACAAATAAATGTTCCTCTCTCTCTAAAAACAAATCAATACTTAAAATAAATTTTTTAACGCCTAATTTCTCATACTTCATAGCCCCACCATTGGTGTCAGAAACATTCAGACCAGTAAAAGTGAAACATTTAGAAAATGCAAGACATAGATGGCAGAATTATATTAAATTTCATCCTAAGGATGGCTGTCTTAAGAGAGAGGGATTTGGATGAAATTGTGATAGCCACAGGATTTTCCTTCCTTCACTTAACACTTGTACATCAAAAAAACAAACTACCCAGGTGACATGATTTTCCTTATCACTCCAAGTCAGCGTATTTGCACCAATTCAAATAGGTCGTTCAGCTTAATCTCAGGGAAAGAACTGTTTTCCCAGCTAAAACACTGAAAACTCGTCCTTTTCAGGTCAAATTTTTCTTAAATAAAATTTTTTAGAAAAATGCTGCATTTTCAGGCACTGTTTCCTAAGGCTTACTTTTAAGTTCCGAATTACCTTAAGTTAAAAAAGTTGCTTATTTGGGACTTTAGAAGCTACTATTATCTTCCTTGTATTTGTAAATAGGGTATTTACATAATAAACTCCTTTAAGTAAATGGGGAACTTCTGGGTTTTCCATTAACAAGACCCAGTATTCCCTGCTTTTTTTCCGGCTTTTCTTCGGTGAGGTAACAAACCAGTATCTGTGTTTAATTTAAGCAAGCCCAGCAGTCTCGGTTTCACAGTTGTTTCAGCTGCGTCAATTTTGTCCGCCCGCTTCTTGAGCGTTGAGGTGCGAGCTGGCAGCGACTGCCTTCGTACCCGAGCCCAGTGGGCCCACGCGTCCCGGGGAAGGGGCTCCCTCGCCCTGGACACCGCTCGGAGAAGCGGCTGTGACGACGCTAACCTGCAGACCAAAAGGGGGGACAAAAGCCAGAGCGGCCAGAAGTCGCCGGGTGCTCCAGCCCGGGGCACGCCCAGCTCTCGCCCCCTCTGCGACCAGCCCGCGCACGCGCAGCCGCACCACCGCTGCTCCCGCCGTCTCCGGGGACCTTCTCCCGGACCAGCGCGGGGCTGTCCGCGGCGGCGCCTGACCAGGAGGGAGGGTTACTCCGAGGACAGACCGCCCCTGGCGCTGTTCTCCCTGAAGTGTTTTTGAGGCGAGGAAGGAAGGAATCGTACAGAGTGCCACAGAGGGGTGGTCGTGGCCGAGAGGAGAGGCCCCTGCAGCGCTGGGGATTTGGACCTGCGGGCAGTGCGAGAGGCGCTCGGGCGGGGTCCTCTGCCGCAGCGGGCTCTGAGCGGGAGGCCCGAGCCGCGAGCTTTGGCGGCCCGGCGAGTTCCAGGCCGCTGAGGTGCGGCGCTATGGAGGAGCTCGATGGCGAGCCGATAGTCACTGTAAGGGCGCCCCAAAGAGTCTTGATTGCCCTCGCGGTCCAAGGGTTGAGTCTGCTTCGTCTGTGCAAGCTTGTCTCCCTCCCTGCCGCCCGCGAGGCGCCCGTCTCCTCTTTCCGCTCGGTTGCCCCTGTGCGGAGGTCCCGTCAACTAGGCTGTGGTGTTGGGGTCGCAGTGGTCGCTGGTTTTGTGCTGCTTTCAGTACGCTGCATGCTCGCAGGCCTCACTCCGTCCCTCTCCCTCCCTCGTCTGCCCGCCTGCCGCCTCCCCACGCTTTTCCCGTCGGAGTAAAGCTCTTAAAGAGCGCGCTCGGACCAAGCAGGGGAATGGGGGCTTTTTTCTTCCAGCCGGACTAAGCTTCACGCCGCGGCGCGGTGAGCTTGGCTAGTGGTGCTGTACTTGCCCAGGGTTTACTGAACGTATTCTTTCTCTCGGGGGACTATTTCTGTTTTTATTGCTCTGTTTGCTTTCCTTTTTTCCCTGAACTTTGAAGAAGTATGTCAAGTGTTTCTGATCTGTGATGCTTTAGATGCGAATACCTACCGTTCCCCCAGCCTGGAATGCACTTCTCTTATCTCCTGCTCATTTTTCAAATGCAAGCTCCTGCGGCCTCAGCCTTAGAAAGCCTCCCCTGACTAGGGCAAATATCTCTGCCCGTCATAGGCTTGTTCTGCACCTCTTAGCCCTAGGTAACCTATAAACGCCACTAAACCGCAGGTTGCCTGACCTTGTGTTATTTGCTTTTTAGAAAGTTGAGATGCCTACAGTTTTCAGCTAAAGCTATCAGGTTGCAAAGCAATATCCGACAAAACAAAACATTGGAAATGGGAAATTTCAAAGCTAACTGGACTAAACGAGGCATGAGACTTGGGTGGTTCTGCTTTATAAAGTGTACTGCTGTAGAATGTTAAATTTTAATGCGTATATAAAGTACTTTAAATATGAAACATCCATCAAGGACTTATGTCAGTGTTTGCGGGAAGAAAAATTAGGGTTTCAGAAAAACTGGAACTTTTTCAAACTTTCCTTCCTCCACTAGTCAGAATCTTTGGATGGGGGAACCTTCCCAGTGCCCTGTGCGACCCTGGAGAGCCACCACTTTGATATTGGGTCATGATAACGAGCCATGCCTTTCCAAATGGAATGAAGATGATCTAAGCTTTATTTTGATCCCAGTAGTGATTGACTTGCGATAACCCATCTCTATGTTGGTGTTGGGGAAACCAGATAGGAAACTGGTTGGCCTTGTAGGCACAACAGCCTCACATAGGGGCATTACCTTGGTAGAACTCCATGGTCTAGAGTGTGAACCTCAGCTCAAGTTCAAACTCTCTCACATCTGTATTTGAGTGTTCAACTGCATTCTGGGCTTACTTGTAACACTCTCAAGTTGGGACTTTGTCCAAGTGGGGACAACAAAGTTCATTTGCTTATTCTGGGTGTAATAGACTGGGCTGATCGCAGCCACATTCAGCTGTTACGTAGATTAGCACTTAACTTTTCATGACCACCGATTTCTAGGATTGTGCTTGCAAGTCAGTTGGAAGCAAAGCCTTTAGTAATCATAACAGTTTCTTTGCCTTATTTTTTACTAGTTGATTCCAGGAGTGAATTCCAAGAAGAAGCAAATATGTTTTGACTGGGGTCCAGGGGAGATGCTGGTGTGTGAAACCTCCTTCAACAAAAAAGGTAGTTATTATTTTTCCTTCTTGATTATCTGTCCTGGCACATTTAGTTGTTTTTTTTCCCTTATTTTCTCAGATTTGACTAGCTGAGGCATGATACAGTTAAACTTATTTTGGACCATTTTCATTTTTGAAACTTTAGTTGTTTAAGAGTTTCATTGATTTATGAGACCTGGCAGATGTTGAATCCAGGGGAAAAAAACACCACACAATATTCTTCCTGGTGTTAAAGAAGGGTTTTCTTTCTTTTCTTTCCTTTTCTAATCGATTTTTAGAGAGAGAAATGAAGGAGGGAGAGGGAGAGAGAAACATCAATGTGAGAGGGAAACATCTGTTGGCTATCTCCTGTATGCCTCCTACCAGGGATTGAGCCCGCAACCCGGGCATGTGCCCTGACCAGGAATTGAACCTGGATCGCCTGGGTCCTGGGTCGACGCTCAGCCGCTGAGCCAAGCCCGGCTGGGCGGGAAAGGTTTTCTTTATATTTAAAAACTTCAGGCTATCCCTCTTCTTGTCCAGAGTGATTCAGTTCCCTTCATAGCATCCCCCTTATTGTGAAACTTTGCAGATCTTACAGCCCTTACCTTTACATTATCATTATGAACTTGATTGAATTCTCTAGGCTGTTGCTACATAGCACAAATGATCTGGAGAGTGAAGTGACTTATCCTTGGCTTTGTTCTTTAAGCTCTGTTAGGTACTGGATATGAATCTTTTTCCTTCTGATACAGACTCCCACTAGTAGCAAGATAAAACTGAAATCTTGACATTTGATTCTGCTTTCTCTTTTTCAAAAGAGAAGTCTCAGGAAATGTTGAAGAGATTTTCTTGCAAATTTTTGACAGGTTCTCTAAAGAATAGGTTTTCCTATTTTATAAGGAGCAGGTAGAGCTAATGAAAGTCTTATAATTTTGGCAAATTATAATACGCAGTTCATGTAATTTTTTTTTAAATACATGTTTATTGATTTCAGAGAGAAGAAGGGAGAAGGAGAGGGAGAGAAACATCAATGATGGGAGAGAGTTGTTGATCGGCTGCCTCCTGCATGTCCTTCAGTGGGGATTGAGCTTGAAACTCAGGGAATGTGCCCTGACCAGTGATCGAACCTCGATCTCCTGGATCATAGGTCAATGTTGAACCACAGAGCCATGCGGGTCGGGCCAGTTCATGTAATTTTTAAGCAGTGTAGTTTAAAAATAGTTGAGTTGTCCCTAATGTTGCTAAATATTTGTCAGGTATATTGATATTGAAGATATCAAGCTTGGCAGAGCTGTAGAATCTGCCAAAGGGGCACTTGCTCAGAAGAGAAACTTCTGTGAATGTGTCTGGATCGTCTCTTTCTATACTTAGTGGGAAAGCTTATCAACATTTCCAGTTTGACCTCTGTTGTTGGAAACACAGGTTTTCTTTTTGTTTGTTTATATCTGTTGAAATCACATTCAGGACGAGCCATTGAATATTATCATAGCTTGTTTGAGAAGCTATTATATAAGAAATTTCCACAAGTTGGTTTATAATTTATTATAGAGCCTTTTCATCGCTGTTGCAAAATAGTTTCGTTAACTCTTGATTCTTTATTTTAGGGATAATGGCAGTACAAAGTAATATAAAACAACATTGACTTTGAGTTTATATAGAACTTTGGCTGTAGATTTATCTTTTTTATTGGGTTTTACATATTAGGCTACTATTAAGAGAGTTTACTTTTTTTCAGTAGAGTTCGATTGATGGAGGTGAAAGGTAGTTTCAAAATATGCTAGTGAATTGAGGTGTAAAGTCTGAGAATGAACATTTAAAAAATTCCTGTGTGGATAATTGATAAATGGTCTTTTATATCATTTTTAATAAGTGAAATTAGTATCAAAAAACTGAAGCTTTTGTAATTACTCAAATTTTATAGTGGGTTCTTTTATGAAGATGATGGTGATAGGTGTTAATTTTTTTTTTCTATTTAGTTTCAGGAAAATCAGAGACAGTGCCAGGCTGTCCCTTCATCCATATCATCCGGAAAGATAAAGATGTTTACTCGCAAATCTTGAGAAAACTTTTCAATGAATCCCATGGAATCTTTGTCGGCCTCCAGAGAATTGAAGAAGAATTGACTGGAAAATCCAGAAAAGCACAGTAAGTGGGCTGCTAATAGGTGCTTAAGTACACAACTAAATTGTGAAAAGCCAAATGAAATGCATTCTTGACCTTTTGCATAACAGACAGATCCCCTGGACATATGAGGGAGTCCTGGTTCTGCGCCAGCCTCTATACTGGGCAGTGGGAGTGGTCAGAGGTGGAAGTGCCTTGCAGAGATTATGCAAATGGTGCTGATTGACTTGCTGGCTGATACGGTTTCTTTGTTTATATTCCTACTCATTTACTCTTCAAAGAAGAAAAGTTAGACCAAATAAGCACCTGAGAGTCACTGAATGAGGTCCCACTATTGGGAGATTGTGAAATTAATATAAAAATGAATTTTGTTTTGTTTTTAAAGAATTACTCTCAAGACATTTTTTGGCAAGAGACCAGAAAACTATTGTACTGTTTATAGACTAGGATGTTTGAGGTGTGGTTCATGAGTTATCTGCATCAATGACAGGTACTTGATTTTGATCATCAAAATCAAAATTTTGGGGGGTGGATCCTAAAGTCTCCAGGTGAGTCTTAAGCACAATGGAGTTTGAGAGTCCCTGTGTTAGGTTTTAATCAGTGTCCATTCATATGGTTAGGCATGGGCAATATTGTTATTGAAAACACCCCGTTTCCCCCTTCTCCTGTGTTTTCCATTGCTTTTCAGAAAAAGTGGACGGGGGGGAGAAAGAGAGAGAAACATTGATGTGATAGAGACACATCAATTAGTTGCCTACCTCATGAGCCCACAACCAAGGTACGTGCCCTTGGCCGGAATCAAACCCGGGACCCTTCACTACACGGGCTGATGCTTTAACCATTGAGCTAAACCAGCTAGGGTTCCTGTGTTTCCTTTACTCCTACAGTGCTATCCCACTCAAATTTTCAACAATTGATTTTAGTGTCCCATCAGTGAGTCTCATCTGCAACAGTATCAGTATGAACTCAGGGATACTTATTTTATTTATTTATTGTTAATCCTTACCCGCAAATATTTTTCCATTGATTTTTATTTCTTTATTTCTTTATTTTTAATGCTCACCCAAGAATATTTTTCCATTGCTTTTTTTTTTTTTTTTTTTAATATATCTATTGATTTCAGAGAGAGGAAAGGAGAGGGAGAGAGATAGAAACATCAATGATGAGAGAGTCATTGATCAGCTGCAGCCCGCAACCCGGGCATGTGCCCTGACCGGGAATCGAACCCCGATCTCCTGGATCCTAGGTCAGTGCTCAACCGCTGAGCCACACCTGGCTGGGCTCCATTGCTTTTTAGAGAGAGAAACATCAACGTGAGAGAGACACATCAATTGGTTGTCTCCCAAACATGCCCTGGGAATTGAACCCACAACCCTTCGGTGCGTGTGCCAATGCTCTAACTACTGAGCCACACCAGCTAGGGCCTCATGGACACTTATTTTTTTTCATGTTTTATATTGTATTTTATTTATTTTGTTGCTCAACTTGTTCCCACTTTGGCCAGCAGGAGCTCCTTCAACTGTCCTTCAATTTGTCTCCTTTCAGCAAGCTCCTGTCACCTATCTTTTCATTACCACTAGATATTCCAGGCTCATCTTGTATGTCATTTCATTTTTTGTAGATTGGTTCGAGTCAGTAAAAACTACCGATCAGTCATAAGAGCATGCATGGAAGAAATGCACCAAGCTGCAAGTAAGGATTTTGTGTGTATATATGTGATAGTAATTGAAGTATTTATCTGGCTATAAATACTACAAGGTAAAATCTGATTGACATTCCAGCTCAAAACTCTTACTTTCTTATCTTACTTAATTTTTTGTCTATCATCTTGAGTATGTTTTTCAAGTTAGAACATACAGAGTTGACAGGTATAAGGCTAAGGGGCCAAATTAAGGATTTTTGAAAATTGCATTCTCAGTTCTTTGAGTTGGTAATTTAAAGTCACCATGACCACGAGAGCCACGTGACCACTGGATGTCAGATAGTCTTGTATAACATGGTCGTCTCAATGTTTGCTGTGCCACTTCTAACATTAGGGTCTTGGTTTGAGAATTATTGATCTACAACAAAAAGATATGAAGCATTTAAAAAAATATCTGTAGTGAAAATGGTTGGTCATTAGAAGAAACAAAGCACAAGCTGAAGAACCTAGTATGTGAAGTTATAACAGACTGAAAGTTCCATTGCTCACTTAAAATGTTTTGTGTTTTGTTAGTTGCTGCTAAAGATCCAGATAGTAGCCGCCAGTTCAGCAGCCAGGTAAGGGCTCTGCCTTTGTTGTTGCTGGCACTTTTATGTCTTTCTGTGTCCTTGGCACCTACCTAGGGTCGCTTTGCAATCAGTTTTTTGCAGAACTCTGTTCTTTCCAGGTATACAGGCAACTCTTTGGGGTGGTAAGGATCACTTAAACTTCCTAGTGCTCCTTCAAGGCCTAGAATATTGAAACAAAGGATGTGCTTGATACATACTTGTGTGAGTTTTCAGTTCTTATGGGAAATATAAATCCTAACCACATTGTGTCACCTTGGGTAGAGAGCTAAGCTTTTGGAACCACTGCTTATTTTCATAAACTCAACTCACGAAACTACCATTTTACTGAGCCTGAGCCACAAGTTCTTACCCTTTAGTTGGAACTGGATGAGGGCTTAAAGAATTCTCTTTCTTTGGTAGAGTCTTTTAAAAAAATTTTTAATTTTTCAGTACAGTTGACATTCAGTATTATTTTATATTAGTTTCAGGTGTATAGCATAGTGGTTAGACATTCGTATCATTTACGAAGTGATCCCTTCAATAAGTCTAGTACTCACCTGGCACCATACATAGTTATTACAATATTATTGACTATATTCAATATGCTGTACTTTATGGTAGAATCTTGATACTTTCAAACTCCATATAGGGACTGATGCACTGTATCTGAAGTCAGCAAAGCATTTATTTTCCTTTACCAATAAGCTATTCTGTGTTTGTGCACAGAAGGATGGTAGGGAAGGGAGGAATGTATATTCTCAGGGCAGGTTTATTTTGGGGCCTTATATTGGGTTTGCCTTTTCACAGATGATTTCCTAAACTCCATTCCCTGGAATACCAACTTCATAATTTTTACTGTATATATTTCTTATAATATTACTTACTGAATTATTTCTAAAAACCATCTCTCCTTTATTATTCAAATAAAGCCCCTTCCTAAACCATAATATTCATCAAGATCATGGGTATGATGAGCTACTTTATTATTATTTTTTAAGTATATTTTTTTATTTTAGAGAGAAAGGAGGAGAGGAGAAAGAGACACACACAAAGATCGATGGGAGAGAGAAACATTGGTTGTTTTCCTCCCGTATGCACCCCAGGCAGGGACCGAACCCAAAACCTGGGCATGTTCCCTGACCGGGACTCGAACCAGTGACCTCTCCTTGCACAGAACAATGCTCAACCAACTGAGCAACACCAGCTGGGCAGTTATTTTTTTCCTAATGCACATTAAATGAAGACTACAACCATTAAAATAAAAAAATGTTAGTTTGCGTCCCCCCCCCTAAAATTTTTTCACTGGCTGTGGGAAACCCTGCCATAGGAATACTCAATAAATATTCACCATCATGTGATTCTAGCCCTGCTTTGTTCCTTTGCTCTAAGAGTAAATCCTAGGAATCTTTTCAGTCAAAACTTTGTCTCCATTTCTCCCTTAGGTCTCCATCTTGTCAGCAATGGAGCTCATTTGGAACCTTTGTGAGATTCTTTTTATTGAAGTTGCCCCAGGTGAGCATGGAACCTTTCTGTCAGCATCAGAGGTGTCCCCCACCCTTTCTCTTTGTCTTTCCTGTGTGTTGTGGTTAGTGTTTTGTTGCCTGCGTTGCTCTTTTCATCAACACAACCATCAGAAAGCTTTACATGACAGCCAAAGAAGCCTGTCGTTTTGTTAGGTACTGCAGAAAGAATCAGACTGCTTTCCAGAAGCCTAAACTGTTTCAGATGACCCTTGAAAAAACCAAGAAAACAGATATTAAACTAGTGCTTGAAGGGAGTGATCGTTGATATTTGTATCCTGGATGGTCAAGCTTCAGAAAGGCTTAGGAGAAGCTAGAGGAGAGGCACCAGTGCTGCTTCACAGCCTGCAGAAGGAGCCAACCCTGCTAATACCTCAGTGTCAGACTTCTAACCTCCAGAGACCGTAAATTTCTGCTGTTTAAAAAAAAAGGAAATGAAAAAGAAAGTTTTAGGGATGTGAGGAGGGGTTAGGCTGTGGGAGGCAAAGTTCCTTTGAGAATTTTGTTGCTAATGATTGGGGCAGGGACAATCTTGTGCATTAACTGTCCACTTTTAATTCTTCTGTTGATCTTGAATTAAATTGTGGTCAGTACAGTCTCTTGTCTTGAGTGGGCTCTCTGTGGAATTGCTAGAGACTTTTTCGTATTCTTTTAAGGACCTATGTTTGCTCTTATCCATGAACAAGTGTAATCTCTGTGCAGTCAGCTGTTGACTCATTCTCCTGCTAAAAGATTGAGCAACTTGAAAATAAAATGTGTTGTTTGTATGCCTCTCTCCTCCAGTAGATTTTTGAGGGCTATCAGTGTGTTTTTATTGTTGCATACCTAGCACCTAATCAGTACCAATTCCTAAGTGGCCGCTACTTACATAGCCGTTGAGTATTGAATAGTCATGGAGAACCTGAAGGCTGGAGTGGGAAGCGGGGTTGTGGTAGTAAGGGTGAGGAGGGTGAGGTCTGGGCCTTGTGGTCAACCCTTTCCAGGAAGTATTCCATAAAAGTCTATTTGCAAGTTCAGTCCTTTATTCAGGACCACACCTATGCTCACTTAAGAGGCATAAACCATTTCCTACAAAGCTTGTCTGCCCTACATTCTCTGTACTGTGGGAAAGTGGAATTTGCTGCACATGAAGCTGAGGTCCTGTGTGTGACGAGAGTCTCTCCCTGCAGCTGGCCCACTCCTCCTCCACCTCCTTGACTGGGTCCGACTGCATGTGTGCGAGGTAGACAGCATGTTGGCAGATGTTCTGGGCAGTGAGAATCCAAACACACACAAGAACTTCTGGAACTTGGTAAGTACCCCATGCAGGCCAGGCCTCCCTTTCTCCCACCACATGTCCTGTTTCCCCCCGTGTTCGCAGGCACGCGTGAGGGTTACTTACTGAGCCTAAGTGCACTTGGCCTGGCTCTTTTTGTCTGTGATTATGGAGATGCCCTTAGATCTTTTCTTCCCTGCTCCGCGGGAGAGTTTAGATCTAAGTTATGTAAAAAAAAGTAATGCTTTGTAGACTCCAGTGAGAAGGGACATTTGGTTTTTTTGTGCATCTAAGGGAGAGAAGACTTGGAGATAATACAAAACTGATGATCGGGGCTGGGGGTTGGGGCGTTGATGTAAATGAGCTTGAGGGCCTTTCTGTGCTGGCACTGCTCTCCCAAACATGGTGAACGTTCCTAAAACCTGCCTGACTTGCTGGAAGAAGTGTGGCAAGCATCAGCCCCACAGAGTAACACAGTACAAGGGCAAGGATCCTCTGTATGCGCAGGGAAAGGGACATGATGACAGGAAGCAGAGTGGCTACGGTGGGCAGACTGAGCCGATTCTACGCAAAAAGGCTAAAACCGCGAAGAAGGTTGTGCTGAGGCTTGAATGTGTTGAACCCCACTGCAGATCTAAGAGAATGCTGGCTAGTAAGGCATGCAAGCATCTGAACTGGGAGGTGATGAGACGAGAAAGGGCCAAGTAATCCAGTTCTAAGCTTCAAATTTTGTTTTATTATGTGACAATAAAATCTTGAGGATATGTTCACTTGAAAAAAAATAAATAAATGAGCTTGTGAGGTGGTTTTGAGGTGATAGAAATGTTCTAAAATGACTGATGGTGTACAACTCTGCAAACTTACTTAACCTCATTGAATTATACATTTAAATAGGTGAATGTTTATAGTGTATAAATTATAACTCAATAAAGCTGTTAAAAACAAAAAGATTGATGATCCGAAAGCCATTTTGGATTATTTATTTGGATGTATGTATATCTGAACTGAAACTTTTATGAACCAATAATTTATTTGATGCACTCTGATATTTTCTGTTTCATTTATTTTTTAAAAGCTGGTAACAGCCTGTAAATGGGTTACAATGTCAGTTTCAAAAGCATGGTTCAGGTTAAAACCATAAGACTTGATGACACTCCCTTTCCAACCTTGCAGAAGGTTCATCACAATGATGAGATACCCTTCTGGGGAGAGGGCTGAGACTAGATTACCTCTGGAGGGAAGAAACCATCATGCTTCCCCAAGGCTAGGAATCCAAAGTGTGGACTGAGGGGAGGGCTTCTGGGCCTCCTGTGAATGTTCATTTTCTTGGTTGTACCCCCCAGGTGACCATCTTGGTGCTGCAGGGCCGGCTGGACGAGGCCCGACAAATGCTCTCCAAGGAAGCTGATGCAAGCCCCGCCTCTGCCAGCATGTGCCGAATCCTGGGGGACCTGATGAGGACAATGCCCGTTCTCAGCGTACGTGGGAGCAGCCCTGCTCTGCTGGATCATGGGAGATGGGTTCATTCATTAAGCATAAGGGGTTCATGTGGTGATGACGTTTCACTGCATCTCTCCCTCAGCCTGGTAACACGCAGACCCTAACAGAACTGGAGCTCAAGTGGCAGCACTGGCGCGAGGAATGTGAGCGGTACCTCCAGGATGGCACGTTCGCCTCCAGTCTTCACCTGGAGTCTCTCTGCAAGGTGTGGGAAGCAAGTCCAGGTCGGGGTCCAATGTCTTCCCTTATGGCTTGTGGCATCCAGCCCAGTGCTGGCAGAAACTTGGTCCTCCTTGGCCAGGGCTATCCATTCTCTGCGAGGAAGGAGAGGTGCTCTCATTGAGATCAGGAGAGTTACAGAGAGCTCCCCTAGAGCTAAGGGAAAACATCTCTCCTCAGATCATGTTGGGCGACGAAACTGCCTTGTTGGAGCAGAAGGAGCTCCTGAATAACTGGTATCATTTCCTAGTGACCCGGCTCCTGTACTCTCATCCCACAGTAAAACCCATTGATCTGCACTTCTATGCCCAGGTGAGTCTGAGCTCTGTGGGGTAGGGGTGGGGAGTAGGAGTCCTGGGGCTCTGCTCCCTGCTGGGTCATTTTCAGTGTGTGTCCTGTTTGAGTTAAACCTCCCTGGAGAACCGGAAGGGGCTTTCCTTTGGCACTTTTAAAGGACTCTATCGCCCTTCTCCAGGGTTCCCTTCACAGCAGCCCTGCCAACCCCCTTGAGCCTTTGCTTTCGTCCAGGGATTGAGTGGGTCACCACCTTTCCACAGTCCAGCCTTGACCTTTTTCTGGGAGGTGAGAGCAGCCCAGAACCCCTGGACAACATCCTGATGGCAGCCTTCGAGTTTGACATCCACCAAGTGATCAAGGAGTGCAGGTAGGACCTGCTGCACCACCAGCATTCTGGACACCTTTAGGTGTGGGATTCAGTGGCATTAAGTACATTCACAGTGTTGTGCAACTGTCACCACCATCCTTTTCTAGAATGTCCTGTTCCTTTTTGCTGGTGTCTTAACCTTCTTCCCACAGACCTGCTTCCTTCCCCAGCCACAGGTAGGTAGATAATGGCTTCTCTCTGGACACATTTGGGGACCTTCCTAAAGCTTGAGGGCTACCATGTTTATAACAATTTCCACGTCAGGGATGTTTACTTAAAATAACATGGCAGGAAATTACTTTGATGTTTAAAATCCAGAAAAAACCCGGCCAATGTGGCTCAGCAATTGAGCATCAACCTAGGATCCAGGAGACTGAGGTTTGATTCCTGGTCAGGGCACGTACCCAGGTTTCGGGCTCAATCCCCAGTAGAGGGTGTGCAGGAGGCAGCTGATCAATGAATCTCATCATTGATGTTTCTATCTCTCTCCCTTTCTCTCTCTGAAATCAATAGACATATTTTAAAAATAATAAAAAATAATAAAACTTTTAAAAAATCCAGAAAAAGCCAGCTTATTGCTTGGAAGCTGACCGACCTGCAGCCACCTTAGGGGACAGCGCTTCTCAACAGCCTCACTCTCTGATGAGCTAAAGGCTCCCACACCATGGGGCTCCTGGCTGGGTCTGTTCAGAGCAGGTATTCTACCCAGCCCTCTTCCCAAAAGGGTATCTCATCAATGTGATTAACCTTCAGCATGGTTGGAAAGGGAGTGTCAAAAAGAATGAATCAAAGGTAAAGCTTTCCAGAAACTTTTATGTATATATAGTAAGTCAGGAAGAATTTACCCTTTGTTCTGTGCAGCCTGTATAAGTGGGTATTGCACCAAAGACTCCCAGAAAGGAGAAAGTGGGAACAGCAGGCAGCGAGTGGCCTTGCTCAAGTGTCAGGTTCACTCCCTTTGCCTGGGTGGATCCCAGTAGATCTGGCAACTGCTACGTGCGCTTCCTGTTTTGTTTCATCAGACATCAGAAACCACCAGTCTTTTAGTTCTTTTCTTGTTCATTCTGTGTCCACGTTCTCTGCATCTGATTGGATCCCTGGATTAGATCTCATTGTGTGACATTTGGTTATCCCTTATTAGTCCCCACATAGCAAGGAGAAACTTCTCACTCAGCGCTCTCCTCACTGTCCCTCCTGTCCTTTTTAAGCAAAGGACCTGTGGGGTTCCTGTTCATGCCCCACTCATGTGGGCCATGGCTTCTCAACCTGACTTTCCTTCTTGCCTTGGTGCCTGAACCTACAGCATCGCCCTAAGCAACTGGTGGTTTGTGGCCCATCTCACCGACCTGCTGGATCACTGCAAACTCCTCCAGTCGCATAACCTCTAGTAAGTGTACGTGGCCATGCCCACCCTTTTCTCCCCACCACCCAGCCCCTCGGGTGAGCTGAATGCCTAGAGATGTTGGGCTGTGGAAGGGGGCACTGAATGGAGCAGACCAGGACTCTTGGTCTCATGTTACGTTTTATTCCAGCTTTGGCTCCAACATGAGAGAGTTCCTCCTGCTAGAATACGCCTCGGGCCTGTTTGCTCATCACAGGTAGGAAGGCCCAAGGGGTGACAGCAGGATGCTCTTTAGCATGTGGGTGCCATTGGAGCTTGGACTGTGTTCTCTCCAGTCTGGTTCCCTAAAGGTTACAGTGGTCTAGAGATGAGCCATCCTGGGGGGCCAATCCCAGAGCTACCTGGGAGCACGTAGACTTGCCAGGCCCTCATGTCTGTCCTCCTGGGACCTTTGCAGCCTGTGGCAGCTGGGGGTGGATTACTTTGACTACTGCCCTGAGCTGGGCCGAGTTTCCTTGGAACTGCACATTGAGCGCATCCCTCTGAGCACCGAGCAGAAAGCCCTCAAGGTGCTGCGGATTTGTGAGCAGCGACAGATGACTGAGCAAGGTGAGTTGGCCCTCCTCCCGGTACAGCCCTCTATATTCGTGCTATGCCAGCTAGACTGGAGAGAGGCTGGGCAGTAGATGCCAAGAAATAAACCAAAACACAGGAACACCACTGAGGAGGGACAAAGAGCTAGGGATCCTTTGGGACCTAGAAGCAATTGAGCATGTTGCTCAATAAAAAATTATTCCCAACCCACTTCTCTTGTACTTACTCTAAGAGGTTAGGGCCAGGGTCAGCTTTGAGTTTACCTGTCCCACGTGGGTTGCTGTTGCTAGCCAAGGCTGGCTCTGGGGAGGCAGAACCAGAGGTGGCTTGGGAAGAACAGAGAGGAAATGATGACGTTTGCCCTTTCCCTTCTCACTGTTGAATGATAAAAACCTAAGTTATTTTTCCCAGAGGCACTTGCATGTTTGACTGTCTGAAAACATATGGCATTTAAGACCCAAGGGGTGATATGATTTTTGGCACCTGGAATGATAATGGAAGAGCTGATCTGGGGGAGCAATAAGTACCTTATTGCCACCCCTGAAATCAAAGCTCACAAAGCCAATCCTGTCAGGGTGGGTCATACTCTTAACAGGCAATTTATAAACCCCGAGTTCCCAGTTCTGCCACCAAGCTGTATTTGGGGCTTGTGGGGGAGGCTGAGAGGTGGGGGAAGGCTGCTCCTGTCCCAGCAGGGTTTAGGAATGATTTATAGTGTGAAAGGTTTTCCTTTTCTCTTTCCTCCTGCAAAGTTCGCAGCATTTGTAAGATCTTAGCCATGAAAGCTGTCCGCAACAATCGCCTGGGCTCTGCCCTCTCTTGGAGCATTCGAGCCAAAGATGCTGCCTTTGCCACGCTGGTGTCAGACAGGTGGGTTCAACCAGTGTCAGCTTCCAGAACTGTCTGGGAAGGTAGGAGGCTGAGGTGAGGTGGGCTTGGGACTGCTGCTCTGATCTCCAGGCCTGGCCTTACAGGTTCCTCAGGGATTATTGTGAGCGAGGCTGCTTTTCTGATTTGGATCTCATTGACAACTTGGGGCCTGCTATGATGCTCAGTGATCGACTGACGTTCCTGGGTGAGTCTCTCTGGGCTCTGTCCCCTGTACTGCTGGCACAGGTGGTCAGTTGTGGAAATTGAAGGGACTGTTCTAGACTCCTCCATTTCCTTTCTCTTAAGCCCAAACTCCAAACCACATAGAACGCTGTGTGCTAGACTGCAAAGTATATTTTTTGGTAATATTTTATTTTCCAGTAACTTCAAACTTAGAGAAAAGTTGCAATAGTAGTATAAGGAACTCTCATATACAATTTACCCAAACTTGCTAGTTTTTTATATTTTGCCTCATTTGTTTTCTCATTCTCTCAGTTGGGTTTCTTGGGAACAATTTGGAAGTTGGAGACACTGTCCCCCTTTCTCCATAAATACTTGAGCATGTATTTCCTAAGAACATTCTCTTATATAATCATATTTATCAAATCTAGAGATTCAACATCGATACAATACTCTCATCTCATCCACAGTTGATACTCTTATTACACAGTTGTCCCAGTAATGTCCTTAATCGTGTGCAGGTTCACGAATTTATATCTCTTTAAGTGCCTCTGCTTTTCTTGGTGCATCTTAACGTTGACATTTTAAAGAGTCAGTTCAGCTCTTTTGTAGAATGTCCTCAATTTGGGTTTATCTGATGTTTCCTCATTATCAGATTTAGATTGTGTTTGGGGCAGGAATGCCACTGAGGTGGTGTGTCCTCAGTGCTGTGTCCCCTTGTAGTTTGATCACTTGGTTAAAGTGGGTCCACTAGCTGTCTCCTCCATGCAGCACTGACTTTCCCTTTGATTTAATAATTGTGGAGAGAGACACTTTGGAATCCCTTAAATGTCTTGTTCCTCATTGAGCTTTCACCCACTAATTTTAGTGCCTACTGTGATTTTCTGACTCACTCCTTGTTTTAGTTGGCATCCCAGCATTCGGAAGGCTTTCCCTTCATCCCTGTTTATTCTCTTACTTACATCAGTAACGGACTCCTGGGTTATTTTGTTCAGTCTGTTATAATCTGTAACTCTTTGTTTATTGTAATGCTTACATTTTCCCAGGTTTGGCAGGTTTCAGTCCCTTCAAAAGTGTGTTTTGAATCCTTTTGGGGTCTTGTTGGTCCTTGAGCTTGGATACAGCTTTGGAAGAATCTCCCTGCTCTATGGAATGGCTGGTCTGGGGTCTGTCTTGTCTTGTTTGGGGCCAGAGGTGACCTAGTGCTCTTTTCTCAATAGGAAAGTATCGCGAATTCCACCGATTATATGGGGACAAGCGTTTTGTTGATGCGGCTTCTCTTCTCCTGTCACTGATGACCTCTCAGATTGCCCCAAGATCTTTCTGGATGACACTCCTAACAGATGCCCTACCCCTTTTGGAACAGAAACAGGTACAGGTTGAGCCCAGTGTTTTTCTTCTCTGCATTTTGGAGTCCTTGATAGTGCTTCATTGTGTAGCTGGTGCAGATGCGTAGGTCGCACCTCATAGCACCCACTCTGGAAATCTCATATCCACACAAGAAAAACTACTTAATTTGAAATGAGGCAGTTGCCTTACTGACCATACCCAGCCTAGGGCTGAGAGAGTAGTGGTGCTTTCCCAGGGCTGCATATACAAAGTACACCCCTCCAAGGGCATGCGAGGAAGGCCATCACTGAACTTTGGTCCAGGCCCAAATCAGTGTAGGCCTCAGCTGTGAGCAGCTAAGCAAAGCAGCTTCTCTCTCCTAGGTGATTTTTTCAGCAGAGCAAACATATGAGCTGCTGAGATGTCTGGAGGACTTGACCTCAGGACGACCAGTGCATGGAGAACCTGATGCCCAACAACTCCAGGTCATTTTAGCTTCCTGGGTTGGTTTCACAATGGAGATGAGAAAAGGCTCCCTCTATCTCTGGTTCCTCCCACCTTCCACAAACAGTGGCCTCTTACAGACTCATGTGCCTCTTAAATTACCTCTTAACCTGTAACTGTGACACACCACCTTCTTTTAGGAAAACAGTGGGGTCATTCTAGTGTTCTGATCTCTCTCGTTTTTCTTCTGTCAATCAGTTGCATTAGTCCTTTGCATTCAGCTCTTACATTGATTGAGAACTTGCTGGAAGCTATCGCTGAATGCCAAATGACCTCTGTCTGCTTTTGGATTAGTAGAGCCCTTGGGAGCTGTAAAGGATCATTTCCTGCCATTCCTCATGCTGGCTCTCTTTGCTTTTAGGATGATGACATAGAGACCACCAAGGTGGAAATGCTGAGACTTTCTCTGGCACGAAATCTGGCTCGGGCAATTATAAAAGAAGGCTCATTGGGAGGCTCCTGAGGCTAGCCGAGAGCTGCTCCAGCATGTTATCTTTTTATGGCATTGTATATAAGCTTTTAAAGAATAAATGTTTTCGTTTGCAAATATAAGGTAAGTTCTTATTGAGTTCAGCTAGGGAGTTTTATCTATGTCCCCTGTATACATGAGGTAGTAAAAATTAAGAAAATGTTCTCCTTGACATGGAACTGACTTCCCTGTCTCCTTACAGAAAAAGGCCCCCTCACAAGTTATAGTGAGTGCAGTGCCCTCCTGCCTATAAACAGAAGCCATCAGTGGTTTACTTGTGATTCTAAAATCTGCCCTCACCTGAGAATCATCTGAAACGCTGTCTCCTTTAAAAAAGGTCGAGGAACCTGTATTTTTTAACAAAAACCTAGGTGATACCTACATTTGGAATTCATAAGTGGTGCCCCCCCCTTCCTCCCAATGGGGTGAATGGTTTCTGCATTAGAAGGATTCCACATGGGGTGAAAATGGTTTTATTCAACATGCAGCAAAATAAGGGCAGCAGAGTTGATATATCCAGTAATAGCTGTCATGAAACAGTGACCTCAACAGTAACACTCATAATTTTAATGTCTAAAGCTTATTGTAAGAGACAGTTCCATGTAGTAATCCCACACTTTCCCAGGGCTGCAGCAGCTGGTCTCCAGAAAGCTCTTGGGTTTATTCCTTTAGTGAAATCAATTCACTTCTGACCTATCCTAGTGAAGCAGTGAAACCTGCTTGCTAAAGAGGGGAGGGGCAGATGACCTCTTGATAGAGCAAGGAAGCCTGGCAGGAACAGGGAGGGATCAGGGAGTGAGGCTTGTGCCACCTTCCCCTGGAGATGGCTCTGCACCCGTCCAGCTGAGCTCAGGTGAGCCGTGTCCTTTCCCCAGCAGCCGGTTCTCCTTTTCCTGTCCTGTGAGGCCTACAGTCTGGCGCAAGCTAGCTGTGGCTGAGCACTGCTGAAGCAATAGGGTCTGGCGACTCGATTCAAGCATGGGCCCAATCTCACCACCCCCAGACCCAACATCTCGCTGACAGTACCCCTCAGCAGCTGAGGATAGTCAGTTTCTGGGCAGCAGGTAAGTCTAGTGCAACGTTCCTGACCCTGAGGCCTTCTGTTCCTGACTGTGCTATACCACAGGCCATCTGGGGTGGGGAAGGGAGGCCCAGGCAGGAGGACGCAGGTGGGGGCAGGAGTTGTCCTCCCTTTAGAGACTGAAAGGGCAAGACAGCAGTTTATTTCATGCCAAGCAAGAGGTAGTGAATAGGCTGGCCTGTTCCCACAGTGGGAGGCACACTTTTTGCAGAAAGCTCCAAGTACCTGCTTCCACAGAAAGGGAAGCACCGGTTCTTTTTAAGTTTCCCTCCTATCCTTAGTTCAGGCTGCCTTGGGGCCAAGTTCTGTTTCTAATAGGCTGAGTTCCACATCCTGCTGAGATGTCCATAGGACACAGCCTGTCATCGCCAGGGACAAACACGCTTATCATCCAGTGGCCATTTCAGGCTAGTGCTGCCCATAGAAGGCAGCACAACCACTCCTTTCTTTGTGCCCTGGCCCGTCAGGGAACACTGGGCTTTGCCCACCTTCCTGGAGGTAGGAGTAGGAGCCTGCCAGCAAGGGACGCACAGAGTAGCATGGCAGGGGTGGGGTGGGAGAGCTGAGGCCTCTGGGGGTGAGGGGTGAGGACCTGGTCCTCGAGGGAGGGCCCCGAATCTCTTTAGAGACCTCCTCCCTGTGGCATCAGGGGATGCCAGCATGAGGGGAAAACCTATTCCAGCTTTGAGTCTGTTCCCAGGGCAACAGTGCAGAGTCTGGGGCCACATCCCGCCCAACAGTACATGGCCACTTCAAGTCACACAGGTAGATAAAAACAGGTCCTTTTAAGGGGCCAAAGGAGGAGAGACCATCACAGCAGTAGCTCAGCTCCTGGCAGCAATGCTCAGCAATGCCCAGGGTCCCTGTTCCATACCAAAGCTCTAAGCACTGTGGTCAGGACATGGAAAATGACTGGACCCGGAGAGCCTTCCTGTCTCAGGGCAGCCTGCTTGGGCTTCAAAGTGGAGATGACAGCATCCTCCAGGGTCATAGGTTCCCCCACTGCTCCACAGGAGGGAACTGGTCCACCTCACCCACCTCCGTGCTCAGCTGCTCCCCTAGGGCGAAGGTCAGCCTATACCGAAGCCTTGCCTTCTCCTGTGACAGAGAGGCAGCACACGTGAGACTCCATTACCCTCGACGCTTTCTGTGCTAATGGACGGGCCCTGCTCCCACCACCACATCCTTGCTCAGCCACTGGACCAGGGTGGGGAGGGGGCAGGGTTAATGCCACAATACTAGGACACTTCTGGTTGGGAGGTAGCCTGGGGCAAGGGCTTGGAGTTGGTGGTCCCAAGGTCCTAATCTGGGGCTTCTAGCTCACCTTCAGTGGATTAGCCAGCAGCATGACCTGGGTGATGGCTGCAGGTGGCTGGATGGGGCTAAATGGAGAGAGCTCTGTCCCGGAGGGCGGCTGTAACTTCACTTTCATTGACTAAAGAGGAAGAGAAAGCAGCTCCTTTGAAGAGAGGGCAGGTGCCCAGGTGCAACCCTGTAGTCACAACGGACACACTGCCGCCTGCTGGCCACCTCAATGCAGGCGTTCAGGATAAAGGTAACTTGTGCCTCTAGAGGCCCTAGGCAGTACCTTGGGCACTGCGGCCTGCAGCACGATGCTCTTGATGGGCAAGGGAGCCGTGTTCAGCATGGACACCACTACCACGAGCACGTCGGGCCGCCCTGGCGGACACTCCTTGGCAAAGTGGAAGAGGATACGGAAGCCGTCTTTGTCGTAAGCGGTCACAGGGAGAGCGCTGCCTGCAAGAAGGTAGCATGTGGATGTGAAGGCGAGAGGTCCGCAATCCCCAACAGAACCCGGGGGGGCCTGCTGCAGCCAAGTGGGGAGAGCAGCACTCCCCAAAGGACTCCGGGAAAGGACCACTGTCGGAACTTCACTAGTGCACAGAAGCCACAAGCAGGGGCTAGGACAAGCAAGCAGGTCCTGACTGATGAAGGGATCCCAGCAAGAGTGCCTGTCCCTCCCCATCCCTCTCCACAGTGCTGCAAGGTGGGGGTCCCACTTCCCCTCCCATCCCAAGCCTCCAACACCTACTAGGCTTGATAGATTCCAGGGGGACATGGACACTGGCCAGGGAAAGCTCAGGCCCCTTCATGGGGCTCCCCTGGGACGAGAATACAGGTGGCTGGAAGAGAGGGCTGCCAGGCCCCGTGGAGAATGGCAGGAGAGGCCTAGCTGAGGCGCTGGTGGGGATCAGAGGGGAGGTGGTAGCCCCGGGGAGGAAGCTGGAGATGGGTTTCACCAGGCCTGAGGTCCTGGGAGGCAGGAAGGACAAGGCAAGTCAGAGACCAAGCAGAGCTGCTGGACTAACCCCTCACCCAGGCCAGAGCCACTCTTACCCACTCCCTAGCTTCTAGATTCCAATCTCAAGTCAGACCAAAAGAAAACATCCCCAATCCCTCCGGTTTTGCCAAGCCAAGCCCAGGCCCAACCCACCCTCCCCAAGCCCTCCTCTCCCACTCATTACGCTTTGGCGTCTTCTAGAAGCTGATCGAGGGCATCCAGCTGGTGCAAGGTGCTGTCGCCCAAAGCTGAGCCATGGTACCCAGGGCCTGTGGGCTCAGCCTTTGGGACTGAAGCTGGGGCCAGTCCAGTAGGGAACAAAAAGCCTGCTTTTGGAGCAGAAACGCTGGCTGGGACCACAGGAGCTGGGAAGGGGGGTGGCAGTGGAGCCTGGGAGTTGCCTGCAGGGGTTGCTGAGGGCTGGAGGACAGGCCTGTCTGTGGGGCTACAAGCAGCAGTCCCGGGTTTGGGGCTGAAAAAGTCCAGGTCCGACTGTTCATTCTGTTGGGAATGGAAAGTGCAAGTGAGCAAGGGGTGCAAAGGGTTTCAGCTCTCCACTCCTGGCTCCTTTGCAACCCCACTGGACTAGCAGCCCTCCAAGGACAGAGGAGCTGCAGCTAATTGCAGCTGAGGACTAGTCGGGAAAGAGGATACTGGTAAGTCAAGGTGGTTGAGTGCTCCAGTGATGTCACCTGTGCACCTACCTGGAATAGGGGCCACTGGCCATTTCCAGCTGACTCTTTGGGAGGAACCCTAGGGGCTGGGTCAGCTAGGCCTGAGAACAAAGATGGCTGTGATGAGCAGAGGTTCTGGGCTAGGGCAGCCCAGCCCTACCTCACCTAAGGAAGGGTCATGCAACAAAAATGGTGAGGTATTCCCCAGGCAATCTCGAGGGGAGTCCTTATAGTTGGGGAGGTGGTCTCCAGGGGAGACAGAAGCAGAGCAAGACACTGGATCTACCATTTCTACCCTAGAGTCCACTACAGATTGCCCTGGTAGCCTGACACAATGAACTTGACTTTCTCCCCCTACAACTGAAGCCTCCCTTCCTATCCTTGCTAAGCACACAGGGCACCCTATATATACACTACCCCCCAATTCCATGCCCCTTCTCTACCAGTTTTGCTAAAAGCCCTTTACAGCCTCCCTCCAGGACGCACCCAAGCAGAGCAGCTCCTCATCCAGCAAGCACAGGGCGTTGCTTGTGTTGTTGGGCCCTGGGGGGGCCTCAGCCTGGCTGGCTGAGCGGCTGCGCCCAGGTCCTGAGGCCTGGGGGGGTGGGGGG